ACCAAACTGGGCGACACCAACCTAGTGATGCCACAGACCTAGGGTCTGTATTGGTATATTTCTTACCCAGATTGGTATTGGTTCACTACAAAATATATGAAATTAATGGTAACTTATTTTTTTTTAATGTATATGCTTTTACAATTAGGAAATCAGTCATTGGAGGGATCATGGCTGGTGTTATTGGCCAATTTTTAGCCAACCCAACTGACCTAGTGAAGGTTCAGATGCAAATGGAAGGAAAGAGGAAACTTGAAGGAAAACCATTGCGGTAAGTTCTCCAATTAATTGATACCTTTCCTTTCCCCTTTACTACCATCATATTTTGAATATTTATCTAACGGACTCACAAGTTTTTTTGATCCAATATTCGGTAAGAAAATATTTCTGATTCTTCTAATTTAGAATTTATATTCATTAAGAGGAGAGCTGAGCTGGATCTTTTCTTTGTGTGATAAGATGTCCATGTTCTCCACCAGACAAATCATACATGTGCATAGCTCTTTTATATCACAGGTGGACTCATGCCCTATTGCAGCTTGACATAAAGAGTTTGATCATTAAATCTGCCCTGAGTGTGAATCCCCAGTTCTGCCATTGTGGCTTAGCATTGTGGAAGTCACTTAACTTTTCTAGGTTTCTGTTTCTTCTGCTTTAAAAGGGGCAGTCTCGAATGGTTTTCATGGAAATTAAAGTGTCTGGTTTATAAGGTGCCAAAAATCTTGGTTTCCCTTCCCTTTCTCCCTAAAAGAAAGGAATAGCAAGGTTGACATGAAAATTGTTCCCACCGCCTTCTTTAGCCCCACTCCTCCTACCTCTTCAGGCCCTGTTTTTCTCAAGGTTATGGAAGTTCTTTTTCATTATGTCTTTGGTGATATAAAATTCTCCAGTTGAAATACTCTATATTATCAAAGTCTGTCTTTCTTCAAAGGGCTTCAAGTTCATCCACATGGTTTCCCCTGGGAAAAGGCAAAGTTTTCTCCCTTTTCCTAGGAGGAGTCTCCTAGGAAAGAGAAAGTGCAGGACGACTTAAGCTGGGTACAAAAGGGCTCTGCTCCTCTGAACACCCCAGGTCAACAGCTGAGCCAGAGGTGAAGCAGGGTTTGGGGCCCCTTTGGGAGCTCACCACTACTCTCTGCTCCACTCCTTTTCTAGCTGACTCAGTGGATAGTGAGGTTGGGCCACTGCAGTCCAGGCTTCCGTTCAGCCATCAAAGAAGGGAGAGAATGCACATAGCAGAGGAGGAGAGGGTACCACTCTGCCTTAACTAAGTGGTTTCCAGAATCCCAGGGCCCGTTTTGTCATCTTGTAACAATCTGTAGTTTTTAGGTAGCAGGGAGAAGTTATGCCTGAGTTGGACACATGGGAAGAACTGGCCATTGGGACACTGAGTTCTAGAAATGTTTGAGTTCCTAACTGATCCTCTCAGTTTTTTTTCCTCTCCTTGTCCCTAATGCCGAAAATGTTTAGTTTGACTGTATTTACTGTGGAGCCCTGGTAGCACAGTGGTTAAGCATTTGGCCGCTAACCAAAAGGTCGGCAGTTCGAATCTACCAGCTGTTCCTTGGAAACCTTTTGGGGCAGTTCTGCTCTGTCCTATAGGGTCAGTATGAGTCGGAATCCACTTGATGGCAACGGGGTTGGTTTACAGTTATATATTTAATGTAGTAGTAAAGAACATGAACGTTGGAGTCAGATAGCCTGGGATTCAAATCCAAGCTTTACCACGTTTTAGCTCTGTACCTGAGTAAATTTTCTTAACCCCTCTAAGCCTCTTGTTCCTCAGATGTAAATTAGAATAATAATGTATACCTTATAGAGTTTTCAGGGTTAAAATGCACTTACGTCTATAAAATGCCTGACACTTAGTAAGTGCTCAATAAGTGTTAGCTGTAATCACCATCATACGTGAACATACCTTCTCAGGTAACAATTATGCATACCCAATAAACATGGCAGATTATCTTTCTGGTGAGCCTCAGAGACAGTAATACCTGACTAAAAGCCACATAGCTAGTAATTGGTAAAACGGCATTTGACTCTAGGTATTTCTGCTTATATAAAGCCCAGGCTTTTCTTTTATACCAGAGGTTTCCAGTTTTGATTCATGGCTCAGCACTATTTTTCATCTATCTACAGCAAAATGAGGATAAGGCAGTAAATTTTCATAAAGCTAAAATTATTCAGTTTTGAGAACACTTATTATGACATTGCTTTTCCTTATTTTTGACCAAAAATATTTTTTAAATGAGATTATGTGAGAGTCAGATTTTTTTTAATGTCCTTATTTGGCAAAATCAAAGTTTGCAAATCCTCACATTACCAGTAAAATGAATCCAGAAGTCTGACAGCCTCTGTTCCCTCCTATAATTAATATGTGTACTTACGATATGAAATATCAAAAAGGGTTTGTAATCTGTTTAATAATATGAGAAGATAAGAAGAGGATGATGCCGTTAAGATCTACATTTGAAAATGTTTAAATCAAATGTTGGCCTTTTTCTAAAGAAAACTTGAAAATTTAACTTCATCGATTGTTTTAACTCCTAACAATTCTGGATAAATAAGATGTTATTTTATTCCAAATAGAACCAGCTATAGACAAAGCTTATCCAGTTGCATTCCATATACAGAAATACATAGAGTTTTCACATTTTAATTATTCTTTTCCTTAGATTCCGTGGTGTGCATCATGCATTTGCAAAAATCTTAGCAGAAGGAGGAGTACGTGGGCTTTGGGCAGGCTGGGTGCCCAATATACAAAGAGCAGCGTTGGTGAATATGGGAGGTAAAGGAAACTTTTCTGAATTCTACTAAGTCGTAATTGCCTTAGTAGTTATAAGGATTTACATCAGGGAAACTGAAAATTCTAAATTTTTATTTTTATTATTTTTAATGACACATTGGTGACAGGCTTCTTATATATTGTAATGGCTATAACTGAATATTTTCCTTAGAACATTTTCATTTTTTTCTACAATAATATGTGAAAAGGATTTCCTAAAACAAGCAAATTATGGCAATAAGGAGATGATACCAAACATTTCTAAGGTCCCCTCTCCAGCCCATAGCTTCCTCTAAGATTCCAACTGGTATATGCAGCTATTTGGTGGACATTATATCTGGACTATCCAGATCTGTTCCCCCCCGTAATCCTGCTCCTATTCCTATATAATCCATCTTTTACAGCCAGGTACCCCAGGCTGGAAACCTGAATGTTTCCTTAACTCATCTTTATTCTTCGCCTATATTCAATTACTAATTTATTGTATCTTCTAAATCTCTCTTAAAAGTTTTCTCTCCCTCCAATACTTACTGCGTTAGTATCCTTAAAACCACCATTTCTACATTACCAACCATCACGGGGGGAGGGGCAGTGGTGGTTCAGTGGTTTGATTTAGGCCAATGCACCTTATGCACAGCCACCACCATCACTCAGTGGAGACTGGCATGTCGCTATGACGCTGAACAAGTTTCAGCAGAGCTTCTAGACTAAGATGTACTAGGAAGAAAGGCCTAGTGATTTACTTCTGAAAATCAACCAGTGAAAACCCTATGGATCACAAGAGTCTGATTCCCAGCTGATCATGGGGATGGTGCAGGACCGGGCAGCATTTTGTTCAGATGTGCATGAGGTTGCCGTAAGTTGAGGGCTGACTTAACAGCAGCTAACAACAACAGCCATCATAACCTGTCAACTAGACTGCTGCCACGCTATGTAATGGGTCTCCTCGTCTATCTTTCAAAGATGTATCCAATATCCAAAACACAGGCTTATCTAAAATACAGGTCTGAACACGTTACTGGTATCTTTAAAACCCTTCACTGGTGCCTCATCACCTATAGGGTAAAATTGAAATTGCTTAACGTGGCATAGAAGACCTGCATAACCTGACCTGTGTCTGCAAGGAACTGAGCAATTTATTGATTCTGGAACAAAGAGTAAAGCAGGAAGTTATCCGCTAAAAGGTTCCACTGCCTGCACATACCAGGCTGTTCTTCACCTCTGTACTTTCTGGCCTCTTTCCTCTTCTTCTACTTAGTTTCCTTCTGCAGATCCTTTAATATTCAGCTCAGGTGTCCTCTCCTCCAAGATACGTTTCTCGAACCTCCCACAACCTCTCCTGTTGTGTTAGATCCACTTTTATGTGTTTCTGTAGCTCCCTGTGCTTATCTTCATTACTGCATCCCTCATTTCATTGCTTTCTACTATGTGTCTGTCTCCTCAACTAGATTATAAGCCGCTCGCAAGGCCTGTGTTTTACCGAGGGCAAGTCAAAAAGTATTGCTACCAGGGTTCCAGTTCATACATGCACAGGTTTATTACAAACAAAACAAGTTTAAACATGTCTCTGTGATCAGCGGATGGCTGCAGACAAATTCTCTCAGTAATACACCTGTCTTAGTCTTGTTAGGGTGCCTTCAAAAAAAAAAGGATACTTTTTGTGCCATAGAAAAAAATGATTTTGAGGTCAGGGCTAATACCAAATTTTTAACAAAACTTCCCATTGAAGCTTTGCAACAAGTTTACGGGAATACTGCCCCACATAAAACAACAGTTTTTAGATGGATCAGGCGTTTTTTGTTTTAATTTATTGTGCTTTAGGTGAAAGTTTACAGCTCAAGTTAATTTCTCATTCAAAAATTTGTACACATATTGTTTTGTGACATTGGTTGCAATCCCCACAATGTAACAACAGCATGCTCTCCCTTTCATCCAGTTCCTGTCCCTTCCTGCCTTCTCGTCTTGCTTTTGGACAGGAGTTGCCCATTTAGTCTCATATGTTTGATTGAACTAAGAAGCACGTTTCTCACATGTTATTTTTTGTTTTGGTCAGGAAGACCTCAAAGATGAGCCAACAGAGGGAAGACCGCTCAAAAGGTTATAGTGACTGTTTTTTGAGATTCCAAAGTGGATAATCTTGATAGATTTTCTTGGACACAGGATGATCACGGGGGCTTATTATAAAGAAGTTTTAAGAAAATTGAAAACTGCATTGGTGAGAAAAAGGCCAGGAGAGTTGTGCCGAGGAAATTTTTTTTCCATCACAACAATGCACCTACTCATTCTTCAAGGGTAGCAAGGGCTGTCCTATGAGAATTTCATTGGGAAACCTTAACCCCTCTACCCTATAGCCCTGATCTTGCCCCTTCAGACTTGTTTTTGTTCCAAAACTCAAAGAATATTTAAAAGGAACACAGTCTGTGTCCCTTGAGGATGCCAAAATTGCTGTTTTGACATGGTGTAAATCAAAGAGCGCAGAATTCTTTGGGAAAGGGTTAGAGAGATGGAAACACTACCTTCAGAAGTGTATAGACCTAGGTGGAGGATATGTTGAGAAACAAGCTTCACATTTTGATATTTTTGTTTAATAAAGGTTTCTGTGATTTTGTAGCAATACTTTTTGACTTACCCTCATATTTATCTTTATTTTCCTAGTTTCTCATATGCAGTTAGTAAACATTTGATGAATGAATTAAGGCGTGAATAAATCCTTTCTAAGACCAAAATTATATAGCTCTAAGAAATGGGCAAATAGCATTTTTGAGGGTTCCAATAACATACCACTTAAACATATCACTATTTCAGTCCATCTGTTTATTGTATCATATTGATAGATATTTTTGTTTTCAGGAAACTTTCCAGATTATGGTTTTTCAGTGTGTTTCTTTAAAATGTTGCATCCCAGATCTCTCTTCTAAGTTCCAGCTACCTACCCAGCATCTCCATACGGATATCTCAAATATAGCACTTTTAACGTATCCAAACCAAACTCATTCAACCAAACAATTCCCCTCTCTGTTTTACATAAGCTTAAAATATGGTATCACCATCCTTTCCGTTGAACAAGCCAAAAACCTAGGCATGATTCTTGACTCTTACCTTTCGCTTACTACTCATATCTAGTCACCAAGTCCAGTCATTTCTATCTCCCAGATGTACCTCAAATCCATCCAATTCTCTCCATCCCTGGAGCCACTGCTTTGTCCAAGTATTATCTATCTCCTCCTTCTGGACTATTACAAAAGCCTCCTGACTGGTCTCTGTATCTACCCCATAACCATTTTGCTCCCACTTTTCCTCTGAAACTGATCTTGTTGAGGTCACCAATGCCTATCATCTTGTTTTAAAAATACCATTTCCAAAAATGGAAGCTCTATCCTTCAGATTGCTCAAGCCAAAAATCTTACAGTCATCCTTGATTTCTCTCTCTCAGTCAATCTGCTAGCTAATCCTGTTGATTCTACCTTCAGAATTATTAGATAGAGTCTTACCAGGGCTCCACAACTCCCTGATCCAAGCCACCCTCATCTCTTACCAGCATTACTGCAATAGTCTCATATCTAATCTACCTTGTCTTCCTATAGTCTGCCCTCAGAACAGCAGAAGTGGTCCTTCTCAATAGTAACCTGGATCAATCACCCCTCTGCTCAAAACCCTCCACTGGCTTCTGATGTTCTCCACGGTGCATACTCTACTCCTCTGCTACCCCAGTTTTCTTGCTGTTCCTCTAACATACCAAGCTGACTCTTGCCTCAGGGCCACAATACATACCATTCTTTTGCCTGGGACACTTTCTGTCAGTTATCTGCGAAGTTTTTCCTTTAGGTCTCTGCTCAAATGTCACCTTATCAGAGAGGCCTTCTCTGACCATCCCATTTAAAATTCAGATACACCATTCTTCCTTACCCTCTGGCACTCTCTGTTCCCTTTCCTTACGTTCTTTGTCTTCAGAAAACTTACTACCATCTGAAATACCACATACTTATTTATTTGTTTATTTTCTCATCCCCCAACAGAGAGCAGAGAATTTTGTTCATTTTGTCTATGGCTCTTTCCCCAGTGTCTAGAATAGTGCCTGGCACATGGTAGGCAGTCAGATATTGGTGAATGACCAAATGTACTCATCTATTCTTACCTCACTACAAGTCATTCCCTATACTTCAGTTCAGGTAATCTTTATAAAACTCCAGTATTATGACATCACCCCTGTTTAAAACTCTTCAACAGCTTTTTATTGTCGTTTGGAAAAAAGTATAAGAAGTTTAATATGGAAGAACGGTCAGGACTTTTCGTTTATAAGCAACAGAATCTCAACTCAACCTAGCTTAGACTAAAAAGGGTATTTATTAGCTTAAATACTGAAAATTCCAGAGATTGCACTGACTTTAAGCATAGCTGGATTCAAGTGTTCAAATGATGTAGTTGTCTGTCTCTTTTTTTTTCCTCTCCCTTCATCTTTAGCTCTATTCTGTGCTTGAAAACAAGAATGCTGTCTTTCATTTTTATACACATTCCTGTCCCAAGCGCCTTACATAGTTCTTGGCCCAAAAGATACTCGTTATTAAATGAGTGAATATTTAAATCTTTTTTCCCCTATCCCCAGATTTAACTACTTATGACACAGTGAAACACTACTTGGTATTGAATACACCACTTGAGGACAATATCATGACTCACGGTTTATCAAGGTAGGTGATTGTTTTAGTTGACTTTTTTTCCCTCTATTACCCTTTCTTCCATTCTTGGCATAAATGCTAACTTTTGGGCTCTTTTGATCTGGAATCTAGTGATATCACCCTTAGAGAAAGGTGATGGTACATTTATAGAGAGTACTTTTCTTAGAGTTTGTTGCAGTTAAAATGGGGAAGAGACAGAGCTGCAAGATATTTCAGACTTAACCCAGCAAGATATTTGCATCTTGATGGGGTTATCTCAGGATTAGGGTCTAATGATGGACTCTCCAACTCAATTCAGCAGATATATTTGAGCACTCTTATATTAAATGCACTGCGTAAGGCCCTGAAGTGGGTACAAAAGGAGTAAAACCAGCTCCTGCCTAGGGAGCTTACCAACAGGGATAATAAGACAATTATAAAAACACTGTACAGTAAATGCCAAAGAAAATGACTAATTACTACAGGGTTCAGAGAAGAGAGAGAAGATGAACACTAGGAAAGGTTTCACAAAGGAGGCAGACTATGAAAATGGTTTTGAAGGGATTTGGGTTTTGATAGGCAGAGCCAGGAAGGAGGGCATTCTAGGAAGGGACATTAATACCTTGATATAATTTGCAACACAATTTCAAATTATTATAGTTACTTTATAGATGGCTAGTGTCCTTAACATTATGATGATTTCATTTAGCTTCTGATCTTATTTCTAAATTCTGGAACTCCCTATTATAATTATACAAGCAAAAAAGTATATTAATAGTGTCAAGTAAGTGTTCTCTTTACTGCCACTTGGGCAATCTTTTTATATGTCTTTGCTCACCATTCTTTCCCATTCTAAACTCTCACCAGGTATGTTCTCAAACTGCAGCATACTTCCTCTAGTCAATAGTCCTGTTTCCTAATTCACAGAGAAAACTGAGGATTTTAGGCCTCCTTCCCCTTCTACCCATCCCTGTAAGCCTATTTATTATATCTTTACCCACGCTTACCTTCCTTCCTCCACTGTCTTTGCTCATGCTGCTCCTCAAACTGTGATACTTTCTTCCCCAATTTCTACTCAGTTAAGTCATCTTTGTTGACTTTTCATCTTTCAAGACTATTCTTTGTTCCCATGTTATGATCTATGCTGGCAGTAGGATATTCAGGTCTTTCCTGTAGTCCCACAGTGGTATTACCTCTGTTTCTTTTTCATTGTCATTTCTACCCAAGTGTTCTCTAAAATACCACACTTGTAACCTAAGATTCATGGATTTCTCTGCAGATGTAAATCTGCCTAACATATACTGCTCTGCCTACTAGATCTCTCTGTTTTGGAAAGATACAAGATTTCCTATTAATATAATCTAGCCCTAAATCTGAAATAACTGAGTCTTATCGCTCTCTACCACCACACATTGGTCAGTTTCTCATACTGTGGTGGTTTGCATGTTGCTGTGATGCTGGAAGCTATTCCACTGGGTCTAATACCAGCAGGGTCACCCATGGTGGACAGGTTACAGCTGAGCTTCCAGACTAAGATAGACTAGGAAGAAGGACCTGGTGGTCTACTTCTGAAAACATTAGCCAGTGAAAACCTTATGAATAGCAGCGGAACGTTGTCTGATATAGTGCCGGAAGATGAGTCCCTCAGGTTGGAAGGCACTCAAAATACAACTGGGGAGGAGCTGCCTCCTCAAAGTAGAGTCAACCTTAATGACATGGATGGAGTCAGGCTTTCGGGACCTTCATTTGCTGATGTAGCATGACTCAAAATGAGAAGAAACAGCTGCAAACATCCATTAATAATTGGAACGTGGAATGTATGAACTATGAATCTAGGAAAATTGGAAGTTGTTAAAAATGAAATGGAATGCATAAAGACTGATATCCTAGGCATTAGTGCGCTGAAATGGACTGATACTGGACATTCTGAATATGACAATCATATGGTCTTTTATGCCGGGAATGACAAACTGAAGAGGAATGGCTTCACATTCATCAGCAAAAAGAACATTGCAAGATACATCCTGAATACGGTGCTATCAGTGGTAGGATAATATCCATACACCTACAAGGAAGAACGGTTAATACAACTGTTATTCAAATTTATGCACCAACCACTAATGCCAAAGATGAAGAAATTGAAGATTTTTACCAACTTCTGCAATCTAAAATTGATCAAACATGCAATCAAGATGCATTGATAATTACTGGTGATTAGAATGTGAAATCTGGAAACAAAGGTTTGGTAGTTGGAAAATACGGCCTTGGTGTAGAAACAAGGCCAGAGATCGCATGATAGAATTTGCAAGACAAATGACTTCTTCCTTGCAAATACCTTTTTTTTTCAACAACATAAATGGCGACTATACACGTAGACCTCACCTGATGGAAAACACAGGAATCAAATCGACCAGATCTGTGAAAAGAGATGATGGAAAAGCTCAATACCATCAGTATTGCAACATGCAAGCCACCACAGTATGACACTGACAGATGCGTGGTAGCCATCTTACTTAAGACTTCTTTAATACATTATCTGCTCTCTTTTAATGTTTCCTTTTTAAAGAGGTGTAGCCAGATCACATTATGTCCTCAAACAATTTATAAGAAGCAGATGGGGCCATTGTTACTTGCATTCTTAAATTACTGTGTGCCAAATAGGGACCCACAGTTGCTGAAGGGTCCTTGATATGGTCAGTATACAGATAAAAGAATCATCTCATAATCAATTACAGGGGATATCCACATTGTTTTAATCAAGTTATTAAAATTTAGCCCTATGGTAGTAGTTTCCATTCTTGGGACTTAGATGAGAAGCTGAGCTGGCACCTAAAATTAAATGTTTTCTTCTGGGCAGAGGAGAATAGAGAATATCTATCTCTACCCTATTTCTTTGCTCTTCCTTACCTCTTGGTTAGTTTTGTATGCTGTTTATGGTAGTTTTAGAATTTAGGTGAATTTTTTAGTTGTTTGAAATGTTTCTGTGTGAAAATAAGAAGTTGTATTAAAATCAGTGATACAAAACTTTAATTTTCAGAGAGTCTAAACAGAAAAGAATGCAAAAGATCAGTAGTCTGTACCTACTGGAATACATATGGCAAAACAATATGTTCTTTCCACATAGGCAATATCTGGTATGTGGACAGAGACCCAAGAAAATTTATATGCTCATATCAATAAAGCATGAGGGTGGGTCATTTGTTGGGATACGTAGACAGGTTATATGGGTTCCGTCTCTTGTATTGAAGTAGCTCTAAAGTAATTTTCTGTTTTGAGTTTTAAACCTTGATGTGAAAGAGGCAGAAAGAGTGTGGTTACTTCCTGTTACAGCTGTTTAGAGTAAGGGAGAGCTGTGAAGATTCCTAATGCAGCTTCAGCTTCTCTACCACACAGCCTCAGAGACTTCAAGAGCCTAGACACAGAGTTCAGTGGTTCTGTTTTTTGTGAGGTATTTGATGTGCCAGAAGGACATAAAGGTTTTCCATGATTTTCCTATCTAGCCTTCCATTAGCCAGATTTAGCTACTTATGATCCTATCTAAGGACTCAGTGATAGCAATTTCTGGGATGTGGGCCTTCCATTTTCTGTGATTCAGGTTGACCATTCTTCTCATCAGATGTTTTTCTCCTGGAAAAGTTTAAAACACTTGATGGGTTTTCAGTTTACTCAATTATTTCTCATTCCTCTATTGCCACTCTGACACCATGTCCACATACATAATGAGCCACCAGTTGTTTCTTAACCCTCATTTACAGACTCTCCCTTGTTTTACTGTGCAGTGGGTTGACCACATCCATTGTGTATGTTTTTGAAAAATTAACAGGAAGTCTTTCTGAGGAAGGAGTGATTAACCTTGTTGGGTAAGGAGAGAAGAGAGAAACAGAAATTCTTCAAGCCTTATGCCTGAGCATAGACTGAAGGAGATCAGGAATTTTCCAATTAGATGGGAGTGCACGGCATTCCAGAAGAAAGAATTAAAAGCACAGAGGTGTCGTTACACAATGTGGTATGGACTGAGAGCTCAGTTACATTGTTAGAGCATAATGGGCAAAGAGAGATGAGAACTTGGAGGGCTGTGTATGACACGGTCAGAAGCATGAACAAAATCTGATAATAGGGAATGAGCCCTTGATGGTTTTATGTAGGAAAAATGACATAATTATATTTTAGAAAGATCCTTTAAGTATCATTGTTTAGGGTGGAGAGAAACAGGCAAGGTTATTATATTCAAATGAATAGCTTAGTGAACTGAGACTTAAACAGTGGCCAAAGTGAATTTGTTTTTTAAATACTAACCAAATGATGTAATTCCCCTGTTTAAAATCCTCTCAATAACTTCCCTCACATCTAGAATAAGATCAAACTCCTTAAGTTGGCTTCATGTTCTGATTCCTGCCTGCTTTTTGTCTTTCCTCTGTCTGGACTTTCACCCTCTTTTATGATGTTGCACCCATGTTGGCTGCTTTTGGTCTCTTAGACACACCAAGAGTTTTCTTGGCTTGAGGACTTTGCATGTCCTATTCCTTCTAATTACACCTCTCTTCCTCCCAGTCTTCACATAGATGCTTCCTTTCACTACTCAGGTTTCAGTTCTGCTGTCACCCTGAGAGTCTTTTCCCAACTGCCTGCTACTTAGTTAATCTCTATCACATCACCCCATTTTATTTTATTCATAGCACTTAGTAACACCTAAAATTATCATTTCTTTGCTTCATTCCAGCTAGAGTGTAACCTCCTTGAGGGCAGGGTCTTATGTGTCTTGTTCACTGCCTAGAAGAGTGCCTGGCACCAGCAGATGCTCAAGGCATATTTGTTAACTGACTGACGTTCTTTTTGTTTTTATTTTTTTATGCCTCTCTAATTAATTTAGCATTAATTTTAAGGTAAAAGCATTATTATGGAGACTACAGAAATAATATATAG